AAAATCTGAACACAATCCTTTGTGATTCATAATTAACAAGAGAGGTCTAAACTTGCCTACTTAAAATAATGTTTCATACATCTGTAGAAATATCTCAAGGGTTGCACTCACTGCACAGCAAAGCAATGAGGTCATTTTTTTTCAAAGTGACTACATGGAGAAGATCTCAACTTTGGCCTTGGTGGTGGCAAAACAGTCTTGTTTGATTAAGGAAATGACGATAACTGCGTGCATTAATGACTGAAAACCCTTGATGAACTTTTACAGAAAACAAGAAAAAATGAACTTTGATTTATGGGTGTGATGATCAGAAAAGGTAGAATATGGGGAAAGAGGGAAAGCATGACATAACCTTAGAGAGTATAAAATATGAATGTATTTATAACTGCTGTGAAGATGGGAAGAAGCAAAACACAGTCTAAACTCCACTTGTTCTTAAATGTCCAAATAAATATGCCCATTGGGTTAAAAAAAAAGAGGATTTCTGCTGTAAAATCAAAACAGAGGGGTAAAAAATGAATGTTTTTAAAACACAGATCAGGACTCAAACAACAGCTGAATCCTACATGTAAGTTCTATAACATTTCATACACTAGCATAGAAAGCAGTTGTGTCCTAGGTACAAGGAATTCTGCATGAAAACCAAAAGACTGGATTTAAACACCCTTGCTTTAGCCATAGTTGGATTATTGAATAAATTAGCAACACAAAAAAATGTGAAACAGTGTCAAACTATATTAGTAAACCATATAGTACACTAATAATACAGGGCTAGTTTTATTTTGTACAGTTGCAAACGCCTAAGATGTGGCCATTTGTAGAACGGCCTTATCTCTAATAAGCTGAGAAATTCTTAGAGCCTTTTTGGTCCTGAATCTGTATCTTGACCCAAAACTTTTAAATAAATCTCCTGTCTGACTCTCCCAATTTTATTTTATTTTTAAAAAGCTGACTTTTATTCTAGGGATGCAATGAGTTAAATCTTCATCCTATTTCTTTTGCTTTTGAGGTGTTTTCTTCTAGGTTGCCCCTAAAATGTTTCTGGTTATCTTAAAAGCCTGGAAGGATTTCATTAGTAGAACGACAGGTAAGTGCCACAAACCCAATCCAACTTAGAAATAAGCAGATTGATAAAAAAAATGATAATAAATGTAAGTTGTTGACTGATGCAAAGTGAACTATTAACGGGAAAGGCAGACAAATGTTGGGTGTTTGGCTGCAGCATGCAATGGTTTCTAAACAACCAAAGTGATGTGCATGGATGATGCTCTAAGTCACACACATGTAAATAGGCCAGAAAACCTGTGCATAACATGCCACTTTCCTATTAAACCATGGTTGTCCATCCTTTTTGGCTTGCCTAGGCTGCATTGAGTGAAGAGAAGCTGTTTTGGGCCACATGTAAAATATATAATTCATGTATATAAAATACATAATGTTAAAAGTTAATGATCTTGGGGGGGCACATTAATAGTTATCCATGGTTGCATGCAGCCTGCGGACAGAGGGTTAGACACGCCTGTTTTAAACCATTCGGAGCTACTTTTAAGGCTTGCAGTTTCTGTTTCCCCACTTTAAAACAGAAACTTAAATTCAGTGCCATGCTGGGGAAACAGAAGTTACAAATCCATGTGTTCCCTTCGGTACTACAAGATGCTCCCCTCCAGTTAATAAGCAAAGGATGCTGGTTTCTCAAAAGACAAGGATAGAATATTTTGCTGGAACAAGTTAGCATCTGTACAGTTGTGCTGAAGGTCTGGCTCCCCAGGTGCAGAAGCTGCTGCAGGGTGCCTGGCCTGCTAGCCACAGGAAAGGCAGCTGCTACAACCTCAAAAGTGTGCAGGCAACATGACAGATAAAGAGGGCTGTCACCTGCCTTCCTGCCTTCCTTCAAAAAAAAAAAAAAAAAGCAGTTACACTTTTATAAGTCTATCCTCAACAGAGTTCACGGTTTCTTTGTTTTTCTCCCATGTTTACAAAGAACACAGGTGCAAAAATCCAATAAAAGCTTGATATACTAAGAATAACACTAAATAGTGTATCGCAGATTAGTGCACACAGTTTGACAAGAACATTCCCCCAACCTATAGAACTGACTAGAACAGCAATGAATATAAAGGGTTTTTTTTTCTGCTTCAAACACTCCAGAAATGCAACATTTGAACCAAATTCATACAGGGTTCTCTTTTTACCTAATCAATCAGAGGATATCACAAGAAAGCCAACAACCTGAATTAACCTATATCACATCTCTGGCACTAATCACTGTGTGACCTCAGATAAGGCACTTTTTTTTTCTGTGTTGCATTTTAAATACACACTCACACCCAAATACACACAGCTGCAACAAGGAGCAGTAAAGTTGCGAGTATAGAAGAGGAGAGCTATTTAGCTATTTCTTTTCCAGCTATTCCTTCAGTAAATATTACCTGCAGGAAATGTCTCCTATGATAAAGAGAAAAGATAAGATGGGTTTTGGGAGATAGGGGTAAAATAAGGTTTAAGTAGGTATCCCCCCCCACACACAAAAAAAAACCCTGGTTTTTTGTACTCAACTGAGCACCCAGTTCCTATTTATTTATTTGATTGATTCAGTGAGTGATTGATTGATTGAAATAACCTAGACTATTGAGGGAGATCTATGTCAATCTGTGATAGCAAAAAATTCAGGAAGAGTCTGATAGCACCTAACACATTTTAGTAAAAGGCTGAAGTTCCTAAAAGCTTAGACTTTTTAATAAAACCTGTTCATCAGAAAATATGCTGGTAGACTCTTTCGGAAAATGATGTGAGATTTTCAAGAATTTGCTTCTCAATGGCAAAGTCTGGCTGGGGAATTCTGGGAGTTGAAGGCCACACCTTTTCAAGTTGCCAAGTTAGGTAAATGCTGGGTAAAGGATTTGTAACCACCTCATTAAAGTGTTAACCCACAGTTTGTAAGCTATTAGTAAAGACAGAACGCACAGAAATGCCACTACTCTCAGCCACAGTAACAGGTGAGGATGGAGCTTTTTTTTTAGTTAGAAAGTGATGGAGAAAAGATCAAGCTGAAAATCAAAGTAGAAGGCCCACTGAAGATCAGATGTCAAGGTGCTCTTACGCCGCCGTGCTCTCCAGCAGATAATAAAAAGGAAGGAACACCCAACCTTGGATTCCAGCCCACAAGAGCGAAGAATGGAATCATGGGAATATTATACAGGATTCACTTCAAGCAGAAACAAGAATGCCAAGTTGCTTTATCCAGAAGATTTTTTTTTTTTTAATGTACCACCCAAAATTGGGGAGTGTCAGTTCAAACCCTCAAGAGCGGCTCACCAAGGCTGATGTTACTGCCTTGGGCTGCATAAGCAGGGCTGCCTTTTACTATCAAACTGGGTTCCAGCAGGACACTTTCCTCATTTACTGAAATAATCCACTGAATCGTAAACTAACCAAACAGGCTGAGTTTGCACAGCTTGCTAAGCCACCAACCCCTGCCAACCACAGAGAAATCAACCAAGTGTGGCAAGCTGTTAGGCTTTAACTGTCTTGGTTAGATAGGGTGAGTGAGTGCTGAGTTTTCATACGGGTCACCAAGCACTCGTCCAAGCACTTATGTTCCAGTAAAACCTCCCACCATCCCCAACACAGAGATCTAGCATCCTGAATTTCTTCAAGCACATTATTGGGAAAGAGGCTGAGGGAATGGACAGGAGGCCACGAGCAAGACGGGCGTCTCCCCCGAGGCCTCTTTCCTAACTCAACCTAGAAGAGCACATGGCCTGGACTTCACTCCACAAACCTTGCCAAGTTCACCTTATCAGGCACCAACAGCTCAGTTTTTCGTAGGAAAAGGTCGCTGTTTTTCACAGCAGGCTCTCAGAGCTATAAATGGATCCATCCAAATAAACAGAGCCCTTTTTTATTTATTTCTGAGTAGCCATTAACTCCGGAGCTATGGTACAAACACAGGAACCAAACTGAAAGAAATGAAATTGAAAGCAGCTTCTTCTTCACTGCCGTTTCCCCTTGATGGATTAAAATGTTCAAAATGTGTGCAGTTCACCCAACCAGCCAAGTGAGTTGGAAAGTCCAACCTAACACATCTGAAGGGCACCAGGCCGAGGAAGGAGGCTTCATCCTTGCCCGCCTGCCCCTCCCCGTACCAGCTTTTAAAAGCCTACAGTTCCTACAGTTGGCAAGGAGGACAGTAGCCCAGAAATGTTCTCCAGGGGAGGGGAGGGAGGAAAGCTTCCCTGCCATTCAGAGTTTGGGAGAGGAAAGCTGGAGTATCTGAAGAGGCCACCTGTGGTCTGATACGATGCAGAGCCCGGCTAAATCTGCCAGATGGCCATTGCAGCCAAAAGCTCGGGAGGCAGAAATGGGTTTATTTTCGCAAGGCAGGAAGATGAAACTTCAAGGAAGAATGGGATGGGGGGGGGGTGAAGTAAAAGAAGGGAAAGAAGTGGTACCCGAGGGGAGGAAACGTGAAATCAGTCCAAGAGGATGGGAAAGGAGAAACAGACCGACTTTCTACCCTTTGCGCAAATCTTAGGCGCTGGGCGCCCCCTTCCCAGCGGTAACAGTTAAGTTCTAAAATTAGGAATTTCGAATGGTCTGCTTTCCCGAAAGTTACGACTCTAAACTTTCCTTCCCGATCTCTTCTCCCCCTTCCCCCCCCCCACGTGTCTGGAAATGCGAAGTTGCCCAGAACTGAGATGAACCGCTGCTTCACACGTTCAAAAGCACCGCCTCCAAAAGTTGTGCCTCTCCGGGAGCGGGCCCCCTTCTCTAGACATGCTCAGAGGCACAGCCGCCTCTCGGCTCGCAAGCGAGAACCGGAGCGTTACGAAACCGCCGCCCGGGTTACGCCCTGACTCAACCCTGGCAGCTCGCAGTTTCCTACGCAGGCTGGAGGCCAGGTCCCGGGGGAGGCGGGCTCCGGGCTTTTCCCGACCTCCGGGTCCCTCCTTCCTTCGCCCCTCAGGACTCCCAGCTTTTTTCCCCTCCGGCCGGCTCACCTGAAGTAGTAGACATCGCTTTTGCCGGCGCTCAGCCCCGATTTGCGGATGACCTCCTCTTTCTTCCAGCCGGGGGGCAACGCCGGACAGTCCACTCTCTTGCCCCGCTTCTCCATCCGGGCTTCTCGGCGGTGACCCTCAGCCGGAGCCGGGGAAAGTGGGGCGCTCCCTGGCCGAGGCCTGCTGCTGGCCAGCTCACCGGCCCCTTCGGCAGGGGCGGAGGGGAGAGGTCGGCGGGGCGCCCTGCCGGGCAGGCGCGAAGAGCGGCGCTGGGACTCTCTGGCCCGGGCGCGTCGGAGCGGCAGTGGCGGCGGCGGCGACGGCGGCGGTAGCAATACCCACCCCGGCCGCTTCCTTCTCCGCGTCCGCTGCTGCTGCTGCCGCCGTCGAGCCCTCTTGGCCAGTGCCGGGAGGAAGAGTCGGGGCTGCGCGCGCAGGGCTTCCCTTCGGCCAGGTGGCGGCGGCGGCGGCGGCGGCGGAGCAGGAGAAGGAGGCAGCGGCGGCGGCGGCGGCGGCGACGACAGCGGCTGCGGGGGGAGCGGCGGCTGCTGCTGCTGCTGCTGCTGCTGCTGCTTCCGTAACTGAGCCTCGGAATCCGTGTCATCGGCGCTCGGAACCTCGGGGTCATAGAGCCCGCGCGGCACAGCCAAGGGAGGGAGGAGAGTGGGAAGGATGACGGCGCGCCAGCCAGCCAGCCAGCCAGCCAGCGAGCCGCCGCGCCCACGCCCGCCCCAGCGGTCCCGGCCTCGGCCCCGGCCAGGCAAGCAGGCATTCCCGGCTTCCTAAGACCGCCCCTTTCCTCGATCCCGCCCCGTTCCAGACTGGAGCGGCGCGGTGCAATCCTGCCCGGTTGCTTCGAAGTCGACGCTTTCCTGGCGCGGGCTCCAAAGGGCGGCCCGCGCTCGGCTTGCGCGCCTTAGGGCGGAGGGTAAGTCGCGCCTCTACGCGCCCTCGAGTGGCTGGTCGGAAATCCTGGAATTCCTTTTTTACCGGGATTGAGACTTAAGGTTTGCAATCGGAAAAGCAGGCGTTGTGCAGAGTTCTTTTCGCCTTAAATTCCAGAACGCTTAAGAGTCCATATCTTTGGAAATGAGCGGAGGATGACAACGATGGAGTTGTAACTTTTAGTCCGGACTTTTGAGCCAGAGTAGCTCTTTCTTCCATCACCACTAAGGCCAATAGATTTCACATATCTAAACTAAGATGAAACTTTCCAGCAGACCTTTTGAGTGTCATCGGAGTGGGTTTTTTTCCCCAGGGACACCTCTGAGGCTAAGAGTCGGGGAGAAAAAACAAGAGTTGCGATTTTTAAGACGATCACTAACCACATGCAGAGTACTCACCCCTGAGCACCCCCCCATAACATGCCGAACTGGATCTATTAATTAATCAGTGGAACAACCTGCCTCCAGAAGTTGCGGATCTTCCAACACTGGAAGTTTTTTTAAAAAAACTGGACAGCCATTTGTCTGAAATGGTATAGGGCAGGGGTAGGCAACCTTGGCTCTTTTATGACTTCAACTCCCAGAATTCCTGAGCCAGCTGGCTCAGGAATTCTGGGAGTTGAAGTCCACGAGTCATAAAAGAGCCAAGGTTGCCTACTCCTGGTATAGGGTTTCCTGCCTGAGGAGGGGGTTAGACTAGAAGACCTCCAAGGTCCCTTCAAACTCTTGTTATTTATTCTATTCTAGTGGATGCAATGGTACGTCCTCAAGAGCAGTAATTTTCAGGAGCCCAGATTTCTAAAGTAGAAACGAAACACCGCGTGGGTGGACCGAACCCGCCGAATTTTAGCCGGGAGCTGCTACGCAGATTCTCAATGGCGCGGGGAGCCCGCGAGAACTTTGAAGCGTTACGAGCTTCCTATTCGCGAAGTCTCTGGGCGTGAAAATTGCTCTCGGATCCTTCAGCAGTGAGAGATGCGGAGGTCATTCGGGGGCGTAGTGAGCGCTTTGTCGCGGAGGCGCGGGAAGAGAGAACTTAAGAGAGCTGGGCGTTTAGGTTTGTGGAAAGGATGACGGAACCCCTTCTCCCCACATCCACTCTCCTCCCGGATTTTCAAGAACTAGATAAAGGCCTGTGGAAATTACAGAAGTTCGTCTCCTTGCAATTGAATGTCATCTAACGCTTCTATGAAGTTCAAAATGAGCTTTAAAGATGGTTAAGGAGGACGAAAGCCACTTAAAGAGAAGAGAAGCGATCGGAGAAGTTACGTGGGATTTTCAAAAAGGCGCTTGCTCGGCAAACTTTCCCCTAACTTGGCGCCCTCTGATGTGTATCGACTCCAGTGAAAATCAAACACCGCCCTGGAGAAGTTAGCTTCACAGGCTGCTATTATTATACAGTAGCTTAAAATCCCGGGGGGTAAAGACCTACCTGTTGCATTTCACCTGTTAAGTCAGGGAAGAGCTTTATGAAGTTGTGGTATGAATCCAGTTCCTTGGTAACTTCGTGTTCCGTATTGTACAACCCAGAAAATGTCCCAAACGTACTTTTTCCAAAAGGCAACTGCGTTTTCTTGTTTTTCCCTTTGAAAACTTTTTGCTTCTCATTCAAGAACTGTTGATACGTTTTCAAAGAAAAAAAATCAAGAAAGTCCAGTTGTGTTTTGGAAAAAGCACCTTTGGGACAACTATGACCTGGATGATTGAGAATTTCCATAGACAACTCAGAAAACGGGTGAGTTAATTCAGTAACCAGATTAAACTGGTTGTGTGAACACCGTCATGTATATTAGTTAGCCATAGTCATATATATTAGCCATATTTTAGCCCTAGTATATTGTTCAGACCCAAAGCATAAAGTTAACTTGTGGTTCATCATATTCTCCAAACTCAAAACATCCTTCAGTGAAATTGGCGAGGTCCCTATAATAGACTAACCCAGGATTTAACACGAATAAACCACATTGGTTGGATACCCACTGCACACTACGTTTTGGGTTGGTGTGCAGTGTGAACCCAAATCCTGAAATTCTGACTCAGATTCGTTTATTTAAAAAATCTATGTTCTTTTTTAATCCAAAGGGTACAATTTTGTTCTTTTTGTTTCTATTCCCGACAAGAAAGTTTGTTACTAACTTCTCCAACTACAGTTCAACTTTCTCTTTCGTTGTGAAACGGATATTTCCTAATATCACAAAGGAAGTGGGATTCTCCCTCTTTCGGGGAAATTAATAAGCTTTATTCACCACAATATATTCTAATACTGTAGCACATCAACGAGCCACTAGGGACCCCGCCCCTCTCGGATGCCCCTTTTCAGACATGGTTCTCTCTCGTTAAGAGATGGCTTAATAATCCCTTTCACTTTCTTAGAAAAGCGAGCTTAACCAGCGGGGCAACGGAAGTGTCTAAAGACTTTCGTTTGGCGCTCAAGCCTTGCAAGGAAGCACCTGACTTGTTCCTAGGACACTCTGAACCCGCAGCTAATCCTAAAGGATGAGTTCCCACAACCACTGAGCTAAACCGATCCTGGCTAATTGCTGGTTGAAAGTAAACGCGCCCAGAGCGAAAACTCCAGTTGCCGGCTAAAGCAAGAAGTTCAAGGGTCTAAGAGGAAAGCCGGCCGATCGACTCATGACCCAGCCCCGCATTCTCATTGGTGAGCGCGAAGAGAACGGAAGGATGATTGGACGGCTTGCTCCTAGCTCCTCCTCCCTTCCAGGCAGGGCATCTGAGTTCGGTCTTCGGCCCCTGCTCCGGACGGAGGTGGAGCGTGTTGGCTGGTCTGCTTGCGCCGCCGCTGCGCAAACGTCGCTCGAAATGGAGGACTCGGAAGGCGAAGGGGAGGAGACTGAGGCCGAGTGGCTCTTGGCGGGACCCAGCAGCGGACTCTCGAGAGATTCGCCTTCTGCCGTAGAAGGAGTCTCGTGTAAAGTCGTAGGAAATCTTCCACCGCCCGCCGCGGGATCTAGGCAGCCTGGGTCCTGTGGACTGGGAGTAGGGCAGTGCGTACTCCAGGAGAAAGCACGGGAGCTAAGACGGGGCTGGGGTGGGGGGGTACGATCCGAATAAGTGCTTTAAAAAAAGAATTATTTCGAAACTCTGTCCCGTGCTCCTTCTTAAAGGCCGCGTTCACACTAGGTAGTGGGCTCTAATCTAGTCTGATTTTCACCTAGCATGTGAGTCTAGCCCAGTGTTTCTCAATCTTGACAATTTTAAGGCATGTGGACTTCAACTCCCAGAATTCCACAGCCAGCAATGCTGGCTGTGGAATTCTGGGAGTTGAAGTCCACATGCCTTAAAATTGTCAAGGTTGAGAAACACTGGCTCTAGCCCAAGTGGTTTATGGTTCAGTGTGGGGTGGAAATTCAGAATAAAGATATGAAGATAATCTTGTCTCTGTTGCCTCCCACTTTTGTAGTTGATATCAGTGGTTCATTGGAGCTGATGGAATATTTTCCTTTTGCAAAAGGTTAGGAAAAGGACATTGATGGAGTTCCCTGCTTGTCCAAATGGGAAACAAACCTGGATGCTTTGCAAAAAGGGATTAGCCTTGGCTTGGATTGGGAGACTCTCTTTATCCTTAAAGAACCTTTACTTCCTGGAATTTTGCCCTCTCCTTCTGGGAAAGAGCAGGATCCTAAGTGTTGTTTTTACTAATGTGTGATTGACATTTAATTTTCTGCATCCAGTCAACACTTTGAAGCAGACACTACTAGTATTGGCTAGGTTTGCACAGTACTCTTGGCCAAAATGTGGTTGGCTTCATTGTAATTCCTTGTGCTATGGAAATGCAGAGATTAAAATTATTCTACAGGTTGCAGCCTGCACCTCCGTGGAAAGGAGTAATATTTCTCTCCAGATGCAAAAGTGATCATCTGTTTGTCTTTACAGAGCTTGTTAACCAGAATGGTTTGCTTAAGAAACCCAGTTGCTGGGATCAGTTCATACTGAACAATATCCTATAACGGGGCCACAAACCAGCCTTCTCTATTTGTAAACTTGCATATGAGATAGGAAGATCCTTACGATGCTTGATGCCGATAAAAAGAAAATGACATGTAAACTATGGAGTGATGTTTTAAACTGAAAACTCTTTATCAATAAGCTGTTAAAGCAAGGGAGGGTTTTATTTACCCAATAATGTATTCCTGTTAGAAAATCACAGGTGATAAAAAGCAGTCTAAAATTCAGCATCCTGGTTTGGAAGGCCCAAAACAGAAGTGATTGTGGCCACGCTGAGTGATGTGTTAAGGAGGCTGGATGACCACAGAGGCAACACGAAACAAATTGTTCAGTATGTCAAATTACCTTGCAGGTTATCATGGCCAAGCTGTGCCAAAAGAAAATGTTTGGAACCGAATCATTGTGCATCTGGACTTGGACTGTTTTTATGCCCAGGTAGAAATGATCTGCAATCCTGAATTAAGAAGCAAACCTTTAGGTAATTTTAGAATTTTGGTAGTGAATTCTATTCCATAGGATGTGGTAAAAGGTCTCTATGCCTGTACTCCTTCTAAGGAAACAAGCAATATATATTTCGTTTTTTGTCATAATCAAGATAGCAGTGCTTGTTGTGGTGATTAGCAGTTCTCATTGGCTGAATTAACCATTGGGATAGGGTTTACACAGGATGCTAATCCATAATGTGGTTTATTTGGCTCTGGTTTCATATATTATATGACCCAGTCAACAGCCTAGAACGGGAAGGCAACCTTGGCTCTTTTATGACTCGTGGACTTCAACTCCCAGAATTCCTGAGCCAGCCATGCTGAGGGAAAAGGGAGAGGTTTCCAAGCTGAGCCATATTGGCTCAGGAATTCTGGGAGTTGAAGTCCACGAGTCATAAAAGAGCCAAGGTTGCCTATCCCTGGCCTAGGATTTAGTGTGAATGTAGTCCATTGTTGCTTATTTAGTAAAAATCTGACTAACAGATATTAATAGAGTATGTTATGTGAATTAGGTGTTGGCTATAATGCAACTCACTTGATTCAGAATGTCAACTAGATTCAGAAAACCAAGTCAACCCAATCAGATGTTTCAAACCAGTTTGAGGTAGTAGGGGGGGGGGGAGGCCAAGTTTTCAGTCTGATTCAGAAAAGGGATTCAGTTCTGAAATTCAGTCAAAATGAAACTCTGTTTTCAATTTCAGTCATATTATGGACAGCTATCAGAGCAGGATTGTCCATGTCAGTGTAGGACGGTTTCTGGACACTGAGAGTAATCTGTTTCGGGCTTGAAATGATACAAATGTTTTCTACCCCCCACTATTTGAGAGCCAGGTTGAGTGGTGTGGTGGCCTAGTGGTGAAGATGCTCGTCTGTCACTCAGAAGGTTGAGAGTTCAATCCTAGGTAGTGGCAGATGTTTCTCTCCCAGGGCGCAAAGAAAAAAAATACCTGCTGCAAACTTTGGAGGGCATCAGGAAGGGCATCCGCCCAGTAAACGCTCAGCTCCATCCAGTTGCCTGGACTCTACCCCAAATTGATTTCAGGGTCATAAAAAGGGAGTTTTAAAAAGGTTGGTATAATGGTTAAGGCATTGCAGTAGGAGGGCAACTCTGCTTCAGGTCTGGAAATCACTCTTTCTCAGCCCTAGTAATAAGATTATGACAAACCACTTGTGAAAATGTTGAAAATTTAATGAGCTTGTTGGGAGTGAGAACTAACTGAAAGGCACATAGACACACTCCAATAGATCTATTGGCAGCAGCCCATGTACCTGTATACTAGCTAAGTAGTATAACATTGTGAGGTTTCTTTTATTTAGAAGTGCTTAAATAGAAGACTAAATGTATATGCTGCCTGCAAGATACATTTGTTTAGAATTTTTTTATACTCGAAATACCTGCAGTTATTCTTGCTGCATAAGTGATCTCCTAGAACAGGGGTCTTCAAACTTGGCCTTTTTATGACTTGTGGACTTCAACTCCCAGAATTCCTCAGCCAGGCACACTGGCTGAGGAATTCTGGGAGTTGAAGTCCACAAGTCATAAAAGGGCCAAGTTTGAAGACCCCTGTCCTAGAACTTCTTAACTGTACTAATCAACATTTGGCCAGGGCTAAGTCTTTGATTATGTATTAGTTCGATCCTTTGACACAGAAATGGGCAAATTGGACCCTCAATGACATATATGACAGTATCTAATGTGAGGCATATGAAGTCAGCTAGTTTGAAGGTGCTAATCCTGCAGCCCTGAATGTGTCATGAAATCATCTCCTTTGAAAAGATGGAATTGTAGCTGAGAGTAAATTTACACAAAGTTGCATTGCAAGCTTTGGAAATAAAAGCTCCATTGTACAAATTATTGAAAGGCATTTGGCATGAAGCCACTGCGATTCTTAAGTGCTACGTTTGTACCTACTTTCAGGTGTGCAGCAAAAATACCTGGTAGTCACCTGCAATTATGAAGCCAGGAATCTTGGTGTAAAAAAACTCATGGGTGTGAAAGAAGCAAAAGAAAAGTGTCCGGATCTGGTGCTGGTTAATGGAGAGGATCTGACTAAATACAGGGAATTCTCTTACAGGGTTACAGGTACTGCTTTGATTTTATCCTTGTAACACTGGAAAATGTTTCTTCAGTGGATTTGGTTGCAATATGTTCCCCGCCTAGAGGAGGGGTAGGTAACCTTGGCTCTTTTATGACTCATGGACTTCAACTCCCAGAATTCCTGAGCCAGCATAGCATAGCTGGCTTAGGAATTCTGGGAGTTGAAGTCCATGAGTCATAAAAGAGCCATGGTTGTCTACCCCTGGCCTAGAGACTGTAAGTAGTCTCTAGTAGTAACTTGTAATAACTTACAACCACAATTGTGTCTAGAAACTCGGTCATTAAGCGATGTGGTTCTTAAGTGAGTCATTACCCAACCATGCTTGATTTTATAAACTTTTGTGCCATGGTCATTAAGCGAATCCGCCTTTGCCCACTAACTTTGCTTGTCAGAAGTCAGCTGGGAAGATCACATATGACAATCACTTGACTCCAGAGACTCTTGACTCCAATACTGCAACTATTGTAAATACATGCCAGTTGCCAAGCACCCAACTTGTGATCACATGACCTTGGGGAATGCTGTGATGGTCATAAGTGTGAGGATTGATCATAAGTCACTTTTTTTAGTGCCGTTGTAACTTCAAACAGTCACTAAGTTAATGGTTATAAGCCAACCTGTATTACTACCTCCTTCCTTATTTTGATCATACCTAGTGCTAACTCATAAAGCATGATTTATAAGCCACAATGGCTGGATGGACATCCCATATTAAATCCAAACCAAAAAAACCCCTCGTGCTATGGTTTAACCTATTTAAACCTAGCCATTAAGGATGCAAACCGTGAATTATAGTTTAACAAATCATGTGAATCCAGCCAAGTAAAGCTTATTTATATCATGGTTTGGCAAACTCTGAATCAGCACAAGTGAATCCAGTCTATGAATCTTGTGATCTTGTCCCTTCAAACATTTTTGTCAAATTTCTAGTAAGCTTGATGTTGCCATTCACGAGAGGTTTATCAACAAACAAGCAGATGTGGAAAGACTCCAGGGATTCCTTTTTATGCCCCCACTTCTGTTACGCTTTGTGTAATCAAGCCAGGAGACAGTAGTTGAGGATCTTCCTTAAGGAATTTACTCTGTAGGAATGATGTCATAGAACTCTGTTCTGAAGCATTGTCTCCTAGGTTCAACTGAGTTTCTCAGCAAGGAGCTATTCTGTTCAGAGCAAATTCTGCAGTTGGCCAACTTTGCAGGCATATTTCCTACCTTGTTTATTGTTGATTTCAGCAGTGCTTGTTCCTTTTAAACCCAGCACTGAAGCCCCATATCAGATTTGCTGAAACCAGAAATCAATTCCGTTTGGGGATCCTGTCTAAAATGATTCACTCACGGCGGATGCCCATGAGATGTAAACTGAGGAAAGAGGCACAGGGTCATCTCACAATAGCACTTGTGTGAGGTCAAAAGAATCTTCTCATTCTCAAGCATCTCAACAATTTTGAGCGTTACTTCCTTGTGTTAGCTAATAGAGAGAGAGGGAGAGCATAAGAGAGAGGTGAAAATTGTATCTCCAGCTTCCCAAAGTAAAAGTGAAATTGAGGATGACTCAACAAGAGGTTAAACATTACAAAATCGTAAAACATGGTAAACCTGTATAGTGAGAGAGAACATTGGGCTTATCAAATGTTTGCTAGAACACATTGTTAAAGTAAAACAGAACTGAAGAAAAGTTTCTAAAGCGGATCTCTGAAGGCGAAGAAGTTCTGTAATCACCATTAGACGGGGAATTGGATAAAATTGAAAAGGCTAGTACATCCTCTCGACTATATTTGCACATTGGGCTGGCCCATGTTTAACTTATCCATAATTTGTTCAACTCAGTTTTCTGGATTTGCACAATACTGATAGTCCTCGACTTACGAACTCAATTGAGCCCAACATTTCTGTTGCTAAGAGAGAGATTTGTTAGGTGACTTTTGCCCCATGATAAGGCCTCTTTTGCCACAGCTGTTAAGTGAATCACTGCAGTTGTTAAGTTAGTAACACGGTTGTTAAGTGAATCTGCTTCCCCATTGACTTTTGCTTGTCAGAAAGTCACAAAAGGTGATCCCATGACCCCGGGACACTGCAGCCGTCATCAAAATGAGTCAGTTGTCAAGCGTCTGAATGTAAATCACGTGAGCATCTGCAATGGTCATAAGTGTAAAAAATGGCCACAAGTCACTTTTTTAAGTCCTGTTGTAATTTTGAACAGTCACTAAATGAACTGTTGTAAGTTGAAGACTATCTGTACTGGAAGTATAAACTATTCAAGTTTTAAAAATCAATACTAGATTAAAATACATCCATCTAGTTTGTGGCCCATGTTTTTTGGTGTGTGTGATTAAGGTAAGATCTATCTACAAATATTGACAGCAACCTGATGGCACACAATCAGTGTTTTATAAACCAAGCCATTGTATTAAGTCAAGTTTTTCAAGTCACAAGGACTAGATTTACACATCAGGCTAATTCACAAACCGATTACTGATTTGAAAACAGCACCTACCTAGAATCTTTTTAGGTAGAAGTGGTCTATACATAGTATACATTAATAAAGTTACGTGCTATGACTTCTGAATGGGGGGGGGGGAGGAGACTTTAATGCAGATCTCCTGAAACTGTCCAAAACAAGGCTGCCATCTTCAGAAACCATCTCTTAGTTATTCTCCAGGATGTTCTTTATAACAGGGGTCTGCAACCTTGACAACTTTAAGACTTGTGGACTTCAACTCCCAGAATTCCTCAGCCAGCTATGCTGAAGTCCACAAGTCTTAAAGTTGTCAAGGTTGCAGACCCATGCTTTATAATGTTGGTCTGTATCTCATATGATTAGATCTATAGAGTTTGACCTCCCAGGCACTAGGATTCATTTATCTGATTGTATCTTTATGTGTGAACCATGCTAATGCTCACTAACCACTGTTGAGCCTAATATAATCACATTTCCAGTTTAAAATTTTTGAAATCAGATCTGAGCAATAATATTTTCTGTAGACCTGGGCAAGGAAGACATTGTCAATTGATTTGCCTCAATGGGATGCTAGAGCAGTGGTTCTCAACCTTTCTAATGCCGCGACCCCATAATACAGTTCCCCATGTTGTGGTGACCCCCAACCACTTATACATCGCCGGGTGCCAGGGGCGTGGCCAAGTGGGTGTGGCCACCAAGTGGGCGTGGCCACCAAGTGGGCATGGCCCCCCAACCATAAAATTATTTTCGTTGCTACTTCATAACTGTAATTTT